TGGGACGGGATGGGGGAGGCGAGGTCGCGGAAGAAGGGCGACTGGCGCGCCGCGCGGCCGCCCCGGCGCGCGGCGGCGGGGGTCCGGGAGGAGGAGGGGGACGGGGAGGAGGCCATGTGGGCGCGGCGCGGGCGGCGCGGGGGTTGAGGGTTTGGAGCTGGACTCGGACGGCCGGGCGGGCGGGCTGGGTGGGTGTCCGTTGCCGAGCGGATCGATCGGCTGGATGCCTGCCCGCCCGTGGTGGCGGTATGCTTTTATTGGGCCGCGCCCGTCCCGTTGCTTGCGAGGCTGGCAAAGGGCGAGGTCCGGCCCGAATCCATCCGAGTTAATTTCGAGATCCTGCCAGAATACTTCATGCTCACGATTTTTTTTTCTTTTTTAGCTTCATGCTCACGACTTCTCTCGAAAAAAGGAAGAAGAAGAAAAACTAGATGTTTACATACGCATTTGGTGCGGAGATGCCACGAGTGCTTGAGAAGACAGGGCTACCATATTGCTATGGAAGAGGATAAACACAAGTTTGAGGTTTCCTCTTGGGCGCGCGCGCACACACACACGGTGCAAGCGATCCATTACTTTACTTGGGGGGAGAAGATAACCCAGTTTGGGATTACAAATGCTTGTCCGGTGTCGCGGAAAGGGAACCAAAAAAACAAAAGCAAAGCTGTGTTGCACTATCATCATCATCATCATCATCATCAAGAGGTAACCGAAAAAGTATTCGCGGGCGGTGGCATTTCAAACCAAGCACTAGAGTCTGCAGAGCTGGGTCAGAAGAATCAAGCGATGCATGAGGTGTGGGTACAGCAAATGGATTCTGGCCTTCAACTGCGAGCCAACAAACATAGTCTTCCAGGATGGGACTACAGTGGATGTTCTGCAGTCAGATGAAGAGAAAAAACCAAAGTTAGCAGACTAGTTATCAGAAGCAATACCAAAGATGCAACTCGCATCACCAGCACTCTGGCTGCTGCCTGGTCCTGTAGGGACTCTAAAACTTGGTGAATATTCATGAATCACGAGCCTTCAGAATTCATAATATAAAAGGTCCTAAATGTTTGCAAGGGGAAAAGCATCAGGAAGAAGTGAGGAATAGACTAACCATGCCCGAGATGCGGCTTACAGTAGGCGCAATTTCCCGGTAACTGAATCTATGTCTGCTTTCCTCCCTGCACCACAACAATATCATGCTATATTATGCTCTGCCATTCTGCCAAATACTCCCTCTGTTCCTAAATATTTGTCTTTCTAGAGGTTTCAAATGGTGACTACATACGGAGCAAAATGAGTGAATCTACACTTTAAAATATGTCTATATACATCCGTATGTGGTGACCATTTGAAATCTCTAGAAAGACAAATATTTAGGAATGGAGGGAGTAGAAAAGTATTACCAGGCTTCACGGGATATCAGTTTGGTAACTACTACCACTCTATCACTGAACCAGAGGACCATACTCTTGTAACAGAATTAGCACAAGGTGAAAAAAATTGGACTCATGAAAAAGATCTGAGTAGCTAAGAGAATAAAACAGCATGCTTCTGATTGAGAAACTAACCTGGCCCTACTGCAAGAACTGTCTTAGACCCAGCCACTACCTACGAAAAGAATGAGAATTGGTAACGATCACTTGATCAGGGTAAATGAGATTAGAATCAAGAATGATAGTTGGTAATGATCGGGGTGAATGGGATCACAATCATTTGGTATATACATAGAAAACTGCCATTTTTTTCAAACTTTAGTTAAGCAATAACTGCTACTATTTATTTGTTACTTTAATACTTATGCTGTAGCATCTCTCGTCTCAACTATTTCTTTGTTTGGCGTTGCTACAGCATAAGTGTTAAAAGGAATCAAATCTATGAATTTAAATCGTTGGCTATAACATAAGCATCAATATGAACACCCTGAAGGATAAGTCTGGCTCAAAATTGGTCAACACGGTGCATTATGCCAGTAAGACATTTGCCCTAATCACAATTATTCAATAGTTATTGAGATTCAGACATTCAGTATCACTTTGATACGCTGAATGGTCAGAAGGACGTTTGCAATTGAATTGGTGTCAGAGGGCTGTTTTTACAGGCAGTAGATAAGCAACTTGTCCTCCCAAAGAAACCCAGCACATATGAAATATATTTGTAGGCAAAAACATAAAACAAACCTGTGTGCGGCCTGCATCTGCAACAACAAAAGTTGGGATACCTCGGTGTTCTGCAGTTTCCTTTATCCTGTTCCTGATGACACACAAGCAGAAAAAGAAAGTGCTACATCATAATCCAGAAAATATTGTTCAAAGAAATATATGCCCTGGAAGAGATATGGCATACATTTCCTGTTGATTCTTGCATGTCAGAACAATCTTAGCTTGTCCGAACTGTTCCCATTGTTTCAAAAGAACCCGGTTGCTGCAAAGGGATATATCAGATGAATGATCAATGATTCTGGACAAACAGCTCCTTGACACTGACACCTCTAATCTTGCTAGAGCTTTAGGAGTCTAGTGCAATTTGAACTTCATGGACACTATGATCGTTCTTTGCTTTCACAAGAAAGTACTCAGTGGTCTAAACACTCTTATATTTCTTTAGGGAGGGAGTATATGACATAGTCCTGATAAAGAAGAGCACTAATTAAAGGCCATTCTATTGTGATTAATCAATCACTCCTCTTTTCAGTCCACTTACACATCCTTTACTTAAGAAAAACTTTAACTTGTCTCTACTGCATCACTTGTTCTTAAAAAAGGCCCGCTTTCACTGAAAACATAACCAACAACAGAAGTGAGACTTTCTTTAAAGATTATGGTCTGGGGACTCGTCTGATGGATGATAGAATACTTAGGCTAGCATTTATAGCTCAAACTTAAATATAATAGCCACCCATGCAACATACTTCGTTTTACGAGCCTTTGATGCTAAATCAAGTGTGACACTGAACCCCGTGCAAAAACACAGACAACAAACTCGCATAGTACTAATATAATGAATAAATTTCAACTTCATTCAATATGTACCAGAATTTCTAATAACGTCAAACCAACCCTACTTGTCCCTAGGCAGGCTAAAAGTCTGGAAATATCTACATCCTTTAATTAGAACTACCTAATGAAGCAAGATGGCAAACTGCATTAGCACCTTGCCAACAGATCGGCGTACAAGCCAGTTGCTGCATCTGCAAAATAAATTGCAATGAATTAAAAGCATAACCGATGTACATTGGCTACAAATTGTACTGAGTAGTGAGTACACCAAAAAATAACACAGCTACCTACAGAATTCTTTATTTACTTTAGTACACAGATGTCAAGAGAGGTCGGCGTAGACTGAATTTGACATGGGAGGAGTCCGTAAAGAAAGATCTGAAGGATTGGAGTATCACCAAAGAACTAGCTATGGACAGGGGTGCGTGGAAGCTTGCTATCCATGTGCCCGAACCATGAGTTGGTCGTGAGATCTTATGGGTTTCACCTCTAGCCTACCCCAACTTGTTTGGGACTAAAGGCTTTGTTGTTGTTGTACACAGACGGCTTAAACTAGAGTTGTTCTGGCTAGAAGTTGGTTGTTGCAGAATTGGACAAGCAATCAGTTTTATTTGAGCAAAGTACTACAGTCTTCTGGTTGGGATAAGTCAAACAGAACAGATGTACCAAGATACAAATGCTCACACTAAGAGCCCGGGAAATGGAACTTACGGGCACATTGAGACGCTATTTTCCCAGCCCCCATCTTAAGATCCTGACGCACTACTAAAACCTGCAAACAGCAGTGTCGAAACTCAGTGCAAGTTCAGACATAAAATCATGGTATTCCAACAGAAAACCAAGAGTATTTGTAAACACAGCCTAAGTGATCAGTATTACCCACTCCTGTAAATATGTTAATCGGCCATAAAGTCATGTTTACATCATCACCATTCATCATCATCCTTACATGTAAGACCATCTGAAATTTTTGGTAGAACCTATATCCTGTACTAGTCATTCACTGACTCTAACTTGACAAATTTAAATGCGCGAGTACTACTCCCCCACAAACAACTCCCAGTTCTGCCTGAGGCAAAGCTCAGCCGAGAGCCAAGGCAGAGCAAATGGTGTGACATGGAGCATGACAATTATGTTTCAACATGATGAGATAATCTAGTTTGTTGATCAGTAGCAATGGGCAGGTGCTTAGCTAGTACTGTATGTCCTCACCTACGAATTCATGTAGAAAAATAACAAAACACGTGACAGCTGAGTGCTAGGTCGTAACCCTTGGAGTCAATCAATCAGATACGGAATTGTGGACTGTACACGGTCGTTTCAGATCAACGGGTGGGATAAAATCATGTGGATGTCGCACTGTCAGTATAGCAAGGCGAGGTTCATCTTACCATCTTGAGCTCTTCGCCTGGGGCTGGGGCGGCGGAGGAACCGGCGGCCGCCCGCTTGGAGCCCCGTGGCGCCGGGGCAGACGGGAGGCTAAACCTCGGCCTCCAGGAGGAGGAGAGGTCGAGGAGGAGGCCGAGGAGGAACCCGATGGCCAGGCCCGGGAGGAAGTTGGCCGGGCGGACGCCCGCCGCGAGCCACGGCTCCTCGTCCTGCCAAGGGGGAAACAGAAAAGAGGGTTAGGGTTCAGGAGCGGAGTCGCGGGGGCTGGTGGCAGCATCAGCGGGGGCGGACGCCGCAGTCCGGTGGGTGCGTGGCGCTCACCTTCCTCTTGCCGCCGTGGTTGGGGTTTCGCCGCGGCGGAGCAGCCATGGATTGGACTTGGAGGAGGCAGAGCGGAGAGGCAGTGCTGTGTTGAACTGAACTGTTTTTTTAGGGGGGGTTGATAACGTCGTCGTGTTACTCGATACGTGGGCCAGCAGTTTACTATTGTGTAATGGGCCGGCCCATCCCACACGCCGTGGGCGAGCGCCCGGTCCGTCCGCCTCCGCCTCGCAGGAGGCGAGACATAAACGTGCCCGATTACTCCCTCGTCTCTCTCTATCCGTCGCAGACTCGCAGCCGGAAAATTGCCCCGATCTTTATTTCACGCTCCTCGGCGGCGAAGCTCCTGTCGCCAGAGACACGGACGAACACGTCGCGCAGAGCAAGGCCAAGCCCCACGCCGGCTTGTGCTTCGCCCCCATGAACGCCGATCGAACAGACGAGGAGAAGATGGAGGCCCTCTCCCTCGCCGTTCGGAGCGGGACAAAGGCCGGCATGGAGGTCGAGCAGATCCTCTCCCTCGCCACAAACTATGTGAACAACAACGCCGATTTGGCCTGCCACGTCCTCGTGCAGAGCGGGATACCAGCCGACGCTGTCCTCTCGGCGGCCATGAAAACGGGGCTAATGGCCAGAGAGAAGGTGTACGCTACCCTGCTGGAGCAGCTACTCGCCTCCTTCGCTAATCCATTGGAGGACACCCAGCTGAGGGAGTGGGAGTGCCCCCCCAAACCCCACTATTCTCTCACCGAGAAGAGGAGCGGTCCAAGACAGGACCCCAAATGCCCCTTCTTTCTCATCAATGCGAAGGTATCGGCCAAGACGGCGCGGATATCGTGGTCGATGAAGAAGTATCCCCGCTTCCCCCGGGAGCGAGCGATGCACGATGCTTTACGTGTCGCACGCCTGGGCACAGGAACTCAGGGATTTCATGTAGAGCAGGCAGGGGAAGGCGGGCAGCCAGGTGCCCTCTCCTACTTCATCGATGCCACATATAGCGGGTGGCCGCGCCCCAAGGAGGGCATCTTCGAGGAAGGCTCCTCCGTGCCCCTCAGGGAGGTCGCCGTCATCAAGAGGTTGCCCAGCGGTGATGGGATTTCTGTCATGTCCTATGTTCATGGGCTTGGTGTTAAGCTTGACGATATCCTCTTCGTGCTGCACGTCCCGTCTGCCGCCATGCCCCTGAGATTTACCGAGCAGTCATTTTATGTCTCTGAAAACTTCGAGGAGATTCCACTGTACGACCCGGCTGGTCTTGATTTCATAGACATCAATGTCCCCGTCAAGAATCTGATCATGAAACTTTACCAGCTGTATTTACAAGAGGAGCAAGAGAAAAATAGTAAGCGTGAGAAACATGATCATCGGGGGAGTGAAGAGCTGGTGTGCCAGCAAGAGGAGGAGCTCATGCTCCAAAGACATGAGCAAGAGGGGGAGAAGCTGGAGCGCCTGCGGAGGAGAAGGGAGGAGAGCAAGAAACATAGAGATCTACGCAAGGAAATGAAGGAAGCGGTTCATCGGATCAAGGATACAGCAAGGACTTCAGAAGAAGAAGAAGAGCAACATGATGAGGAGTATGACCCAATGCTTTTGCCGTTCCTGTTTCAGGAAGAATGTGGTTTGGTGAAACCATTCAAAAGAGCTGTGCCAAAGTGAGAAGAGGCACGACAGATAGCTTGTATAGCTCTTAAGTTGCAGGCTTCGCATGATTGATGATTTAGTTATGTAAATTATGGCTTGTATTGTACTGCATTGGATTATTGGATGCATTGGGGAAACTACATGCTGATTTACATTTTTTTTGTGAGAGACTTCCAATCTATTCATCTTCAATCATGACAGTACAAAGAATAATAGAGGTAATAAAAATTACAACCATGTCTATGGACCATCTAGCGACGTCTACAAGCACTGGAGCGAGCCGAAGGCGCCGCCGTCATCGCCTCTCCCTCATCAGAGTCGGGCAAACCTTGTTGTAGTAGACAGTCAGGAGGTCGTCGTGCTAAGGCTCCATAGAACCAGCGCACCAGAGTATCAACCATCGCCGATGAAGAAAGTCATAGATCAGAAGAACCAAACCTATAAACGCCTAAACGAAGACGAACGAAGAACGGATCCAAATAGATCCACCGAAGACCAACACCAACCGAATCCCGTAAGATCCGACGGAGACAAACCTTCACATGCCCTCCGACGATGCTAGACGCATCATCGGGATGGGGATAGAACATGGGAGACATTATTCCAACTAAGGGACGTCGCCGCCGCCACACAGCCCCAACCAAGGCGCTGACTCTAAGAGCATCTCCAGCCGCGCCCCAACAAGGCCCCCCAGGCGACTTTTCGGCCGCCGGCGTCGAAAAATCGGCCCAGTCGCGCCCCCAAGGGCCCATTTTTCACCGGCTCGGGCCGAAATTGGCGCCAGCGTACCCAACCGAACCCGGCGCGCTGGGGGACGCTCGGGGGCGCCGTGCGAATCGTTTTTGGCGCGAAAGAGTCGTGGGCCCTCCTTGCCAGCAACTCGTCTCTCTTCCCGCCGCTTCGTCATCCTCATCGCCTCGTTTCCCGTGGCGAATCAATGCCAAAGCTGCCGCGCGCTACCGCGTCGGCCAGCCTCCTCCATTGATGCCTCAACGGCGGCGCAGTGAAGACCGGACGACGCGCGTCCCCTCGCCCGCCACGCGCACGCGGCGGCCACGCGTACGCGCGGCGCCTCCGCCTATATAAGCTGACCCCCAGCGCGCCGGTGGCAAGCACAGACTCCACTGCCGACGCGCCATTTCTCCCCCTTCCTCCCTCTCCTCTCGCCGTCTCCAGTTCAAAGCATGGCCGAGCGCTTCCCAGACGACGATGCGGCGGCGAACGGCTTCGGCCGCCGCCACCTTCACGAGGACGAAGCTCGGCTCCTCTTTGAGGCCGAGTACCCGGTCCCGCCGGACATGCGGGTGCCCGGGACGTGGACAATCAGCGTCGGCGGGGTCCCGGTGCCACCACCGCCCACCGGGGAGGCCTGGGTGCGGAGATCGCGCGTATCCGCGCCTCCCTGCCGCGGGCGGCGAGGGAGGGGCCACGCTATGCCCCAACAGCCCGCTTTGGGAGCCATACTTCCGCCGCCGCCACGCCGAGCAGCTCGAGGCCTCCAACGGCGTCATGCCCTCCGGAAGGCTCAACTCTGAGGGGCGGCACCGATGGTGGGGCGTGCCCGGCCGCACACTGGAGGCCGTCTTCGAGTGCATCGAGGACGGCAACACGCCGAGGCTGGAGTGCCCCGCTCCCCCGTCCTTCTCTCGCCGACGTGGGAGCTCGTGGACGCCGAGGCGCATGGACCTCCCCCCGGAGTACGAGGAGATAACCCGGCGCGGCTTCTCTGACGAGGACGCCCTACAGTGGGCGCGCGACGACTACCTCTGCGACGAGATGGTCCGGCAGCGCCGGGCCCTGGAGTAGATAGCCGCCCGCAAACGTGGGCGCGAGGACGAGCACGGCGTCGTGATCCTCGACAGCGACGACGACGAGGACGCCCCTGGACCGTCCAACCTGCCGCGCCAACCGGGGGAGGGTTGCAGCAGGGACGGCGGCCGCGGCGGAGGTGACGACGACGACGGCGGCGATTACACGCGGTTCTACAGCCTCCTCGGCATGTAGAACTGTAAGGGCGGCGGGCGGCGAGGAGCGGCGAGGGAGACGGCGAGGAGCAGACTAGTAGCGTTTTTTTTCTTTTTTGTAAAATATTTTAAATATGAACGAACTCGCCGAAGTTTGGTTGAATTTGTGTTGTGTTTGTGCCGGAACTTACACTTTCAAAAAAACGTGGGCGCCGCGACTGGGGGGCATCACGCCCCAACACGCGGTTAGCGCCGGTGCGCTCCCAGGGGGCGATTTATAGCGCCTTCTGGGGGCCCAACGGCTGGAGATGC